CCCCCCCCAAATTCTGCCAAACCAACTTTGGGTCGAGTGCGTCAAACCAACGAAACCGGAGCCAGAGGGGACGCGGGGCCACCAAGGGCCATCATGGGCTACTGGGGCCACGTGGGGTCACCCAGGGCCACCACAGGGTCACTGTGGCCACCAAGGAGACGGCCAGGGCCATCAAGGGTCACCCAGGGACACCAGACGGTCACCACAGGGCCATCATGGGGATGGCCAGAGGGCCACCACAAGGCCACCACACTGGGGCCAGCACAGGAAGAGCCAGGAGGTGGCCGGGGCCACCAAAGGGGCACCAAGGGCCACCACAGGGAGTCAGGGGACGGCCACCACTGCCGTGGGGGACAGCCAGGGCCACCAAGGGCTACCACCAGGATGGACAGGGCCACCACAGGAAGAGCCAAGGGACAGCCACGGCCACCAAGGGGCCACCAGCACCATGATGGCCACTGCGGCCACCACAGAGGTGACCAGGGCCACCAAAGGGAGCAGAGGAGAGCCAGGGCCATGGAGGGGGTGGCCAGGGTCGCCATGGGGACAGTCAGGGTCGCCATGGGGACAGTCAGGGCCACCACGGGGTTGGTCAGGGCCACCACGGGGTCAGGGCCACCGTGGGGATGGTCACGGACAGGAATCAATAAAGGTGACACCAGTTCTTGGAGCCACCACCTGTGTCTGGGGGGGCACGGGGATACGGGGGGGGCACAGGGACACCGGGTGGCACAGGGACACACCCCCCCTCTCCGGAGGTCCCCCCAACCCCAGCGGGGCCCCCCCGGAAGCACAAACACCCCCAGCCGGGGAGGGGCTCGCCACGCTGTACATAGGGATGGGGGGGCCCCCAAAATGGGGGGGCAATGGGGACCTGTTAACAGTTCTGGGACCCCTCCCCAAAATTGATGGGACCCCATAATCTGGAAACACCTCCCAGGGCTTGGGGATCCTTCCTGGGGTGTTTAGACCCTGCCCACATTTTGGGGACCCCCCCCCCGGGTAACGGGAACCCCCAAGTTCTGGGGATCCACAGTGAACTTGGGGACCCCCCCCCCAGGACTGAGGTTCCCCCACACTTTGGAGACCCCCCGTCCAGAGCTTGGGCACTCCCTCCTGGGGTGCAGGGACCCCCCCAGGGTATTGGGGAACCCCCCAAATTTGGGGACCCCCCCAGTATTTGGAGTCCCCTTACTTTGGGGGCCCCCTGCGTTTTGGGGACCCCCAGGGAATCAGGGACCCCCCCGGATTTTGGGGACCCCCCCAGTATTTGGAGTCCCCTTACTTTGGGGGCCCCCTGCGTTTTGGGGACCCCCAGGGAATCAGGGACCCCCCCGGATTTTGGGGACCCCCCCAGACACCCTCAGGGGTTTTGGGGACATGCGGGGGGGGTCCAGCCCCTCCCCAAGTTTTGGGGTTCCCCTCTCTTAGCAAAGGGGAACCCCAGAACTTCCTCGGGGACCCCAAATTTGGGGGTGTGGAGGGGAACACCCCCTTCCCCCCACCCCGCATCTTGGGGTCTCCCTCCCCCCCCGGGTTAGGGGGGTCCTTCCCCTCCC